ATTTCTACCGATGTATAAACGATATAAATACCCTGTATTTTGAATAACAAATGTAGTTGTTGTCACCATTAAATTTGACTTTTGTGTCTCGGAGTGTGGATTATCTTCAAGTGATTATAGTGTCGCGTCTGGAGACTCATTCTAGTCGAGTTAGATAACAACCACAAATTGGTAACACTCCCTTATAACAAGTCGAATACAAGGTTTCAGACTTTTTGAAGTCTAACGAGCAGTAGTGTTGTTTTTGTCCAGCGGAGTTACCAACGTCATGCGCAACTTTCCCTCTTTTCTGGACTTACTGTCGATTAGTAAGCAGCTATAAGGTTCAACAGTGCATCGATCGGGAATAGAACTATAACCTATCATATGGCTGGCAAACATTCCACAATGGAACCGTCAACGTACCCATAATAAACTTGTCTACGTATAATCTGAGCGTCTTTCGAAAACCATAACAACGTATTTTTTGTCAACATTTCACTGAATAAACCATAGCTTCTCTAGCAGAAACACAAAAGTGTGTTCATTAAATGGTACAGAAAATAAAATCAACCTGTATGAAGGTCACCTGTAGGTGAATATGTGTATTGATTAAACGTGACTGGTCATCATTTTTTGTATGCCATCAGTATATACAAATATTCGTCTACAAGTGGCCTATATATAAGTTTACTTTATTTCATATACTATTTAACTACTTAAGTTGTGTTACTTAATGAAATCTGTGTATTTCTGATGAAGAAGCTGCGCATTATGCACAGCGAAACATGTTCAGAAAATTCTTGTCTTAATTTTCTTAACACTTTAAGATTATGTTTTATTCATTTTGCAGTGCATCAATCAGACTCAGCACTTAGGTATACTATTAGTATTATTCTCTTGGGTTCCAAGTGGAACGTAGGGTAGATTTCCATTTCATCGTGTTCTCTGAAGTCCATTTTATCTGGCTTCACGACTGACCATAAGCTTTCATTTCCTCCTCACACAATCTCCTCCATATCACAGTCGGACACACGCCCAAATGGCTGTTTCTCATTCGGGTTCCGCTAGGGACCAGCTTGGCGCATGCTGTGACTTAACGGTCTTATAAGAGTGTGTCCGCTCCAGTTCCATTGGCACAATTGTTGGGTAATAGTTTCTTACCTATTGGTTGGTTCCCGAATTTCCCCGTTGCTTACCCTTTCAGACCAGCCATCTAATCTTCATCATAAAGCTGGCGACATTAAAATACTAAATGGAGACATGAACGCCAAACTGGGACCAGACAACACAGGAAGGGAACTCATCATGGGTAGAGAAGCTCTCGGAGAAATGAATGAAAACGGAGAACTCTTCGCCGACTTCTGCGCCTTCAACGAACTAGTGATTGGTGGCAGCGCATACAAACACAAAGATATCCACAAGGCTACATGGGTGTCACCAGATAGGAAAGCCAGAAACCAAATTGACTTCATCTCAATCTCAAGGAAGTGGAGGCGCAGCTTACTGGACACAAAAGTAATAAGGGGAGCAGACGTTGGCTCAGATCAATATCTCGTACAAGGGAAAATTCAAATCAAATTAAAAGCTTTCAGGGAATAAGGAGCTGCAGATAGACCACAAGCCAAGTTCAACACTCAAAAGCTGAAGGACCAGGCTACAAAGGACATCTTCATTGCAAGCGTAAAGGACAAAGCTGAGACACAAATCAACACCAGCGAAGAGGTCGGCGTCGAAAAGCACTGGAACAACGTGAAAACGCTGTGGAGTCAAACCTGCATGAACGTTCTAAGCAAAAAGAAGAGACAGGACAAACAGTGGCTCACTACGGACACTTGCAAACTAATAGAAGAGAGAAGGATAGTGAAACAAAAGATTATCCAGTGCACCGACGAGCAACAAAAACAGGAGTTGAATGCAAGCTACTATACACTGAACAAAAGATTGAAGAAGAGTGCCAGAGAAGACAAAAGAAAATATTATGAAACCATGGGAAGTGAAGCGGAACAAGCTACAGGCAAAGGAGGCCTCGCCACACTCTACCAAACAACTAGGCACCTATCGGGCAAAAGTTCGACACAAATTAAGCCAGTAAAGTATGACAATGGAAAGTCAATCACCAAAGAGGTGGAACAAAGAAGACACTGGGCTGAACACTTCAAAAGACTTCTGAATCGTCCGCCACCTACAACGCACCCAACAATACCAACAACGGAAGCAGAACTACCAGTGAACACTGACCCTCCAATGAAATCAGAAGTCGTGAATGCCATCAAGATGCTTAAAGCTGGGAAAACACCAGGACCAGATGTAATCCCAGCAGAAGCATTGAAAATGGACCCAGAGACAACAGCGGACTTGATGACACCACTGCTGGAGAAGGTGTGGAAAGAGGGCAAAGTACCCGAGGATTGGAAGAACAGTTACTTATTCAAACTTCCAAAGAAAGGAGATTTAAGTCAATGTAAAAACTGGCGCGGAATTATGCTCCTGTCTATTCCAAGCAAAATACTAAGCCGCATCATCCTGGAGACAATCAAACAAGCCCTAGATGAAAAACTTCGACCGGAACATGCCGGATTCAGGAGAAACAAGTCATGTATTGATCAAATCGCCACTTTACGAATCATCATTGAACAAAGCTTAGAATGGCAGTCACCTCTCTATCTCAACTTCATCGACTTTGAAAAGGCCTTCGACAGCGTCGATCGAGAGGTGATTTAGCAACTACTTCGCTCCTACGGGGTCCCATCGACAATTATACATCTCATCCAACAGTTAAACGACAATGCTGCATGCCAAGTAATCCACAACAGGAAACTTACGGAAGCCTTCAAAGTGAGGACGGGAGTCCGACAAGGCTGTCTACTATCACCAATGATTTTCCTGATTGCAGTAGATTGGATAATGCGACAGAGGAGAGCGGGCAATGAGGAAACCGGCATAAAATGGACTCACACAAAAAACTTGGAGGATCTGAACTTCGCCGATGATATATGTCTGATTTCCAACAAACTGGAAGATATGCAGGTGAAAAGCAACAAGTTGGCAGAAGAAGCATCAAAGATAGGACTTCAAGTGAATATAGAGAAAACAGAGGTGATGAAGATTCCTGGCCAACACCAACAGCAGCAACAACAACAGACAACAATCAGCCAGCATAAATGGGAGGAACCTGAAAGAAACAACCTCCTTTGCCTACCTGGGAAGTATCGTTTCAACTACAGGCTGACGGAACTGACGAGGATATCAAAGCCAGAATCGGAAAAGCAAGGCAGGCTTTCATTACTCTTAAGTCTGTGTGGAAGTCAACAGCACTCAGCATCAAAAATAAGGTCCGGATTTTCAACTCCAATGTAAAATCAGTGCTTCTATACAGATCAGAGACTTGGCGAGTCATAAGGAGCATCTCAAACAAACTTCAGAACTTCACCAACAGTCGTCTTTGCTCAATACTCAAGATCAGATGGCCATAAAAGATCAGTAACAAAGATCTCTGGCAATGAGCGAACCAACCAGGAACCGATTGTGAAACAAATAGGCAGGAAGAAATGGAGATGAATTGGCCATACTCTGAGAAGAGAAACCATCAAGTGACATCACTAGACAAACCATTGCTCAAGTGGGACCAGAAAGGGAAACGGCGAGTTGGTCGTCAATGCAAGGGTGACTTGGAGGAGGTCATGCGAGGAGGAGATGAAAGCATGTGGACAGACTTGGAGCAGAGTGAAAAAGTTAGCAGAAAAGCGAAGGCAATGGAGGTGCGCAGCTGAAGCCCTATGTTCCTCTAGGAACTAAAGGATATAATAATAAATAATAATAATCTAATCTTCATCATAAAGCCAGAGAAGGTAGCTATTGATAAAACTCTGCAGCAGGCTGTTAGAAATGCTTCTTGTGGTGCACGCGCGTCAAGACTCTGAATTATACATAAGCACTGACTGTTGGCTTGTTTCACAAATGCCAAGCCACTACCTTTGTCATCGATTAATATCATCACAATCCATAAAGTATTTGACTTTTTGTTTGAACCACGTATAGAGGTGTAGAATGTCTACCTGTAGTCCTATGGATGCTAAGAAGAAATGGCTTGGGACTGTTGGCAATATAGCTCAAAACCGTTCTGAATCTAGCAGAGGTGGATCCACTTTTTGTAATCTCCAAGATCCATTGAGACCTCATGATTTTCCATGTTACTATTGGTTTTTCGTGCATCCCTGTTGATCATAGTTTTTCTAAGCATCTTTTTTTCTTTTCTGTACCTCTGTGTGGTACATTGAGTGTGAAAACTTGAATTCTGCTGCATTTCTGTGCAAAGTTCTATTTTGAAACTCAATTAGTCAGTTTATCTAAATGAAAACATATAAATTTATCGATAAAATGAGCTGATAACAAAAATAATTATCTTAATTGCAATCTATCGTCGAAATACTCTGAAGAATATTTGTGACTTTAGTATGAGGAGGTGTAAGGTGAACGAGAGTAATCAAACTGATATCTTTAGATCAGCTAGCTGAATAACATCGACAAGATGTTAATTTTGTTTTATGGTGACTAGCAGTGGGATTCAGGATTCTCATTTCATCTCATTTCGGGACACATCACTAGATGTACCTACGTCTAAATCCTAAGTAAATGATAGACGATGTCCTCAGTGGGACCCTAACCTTGAACTTTTCGTTTAAAATACCAAAACATTATCCACTAGCCCATTAGGTCATGCGTGTCAGATATATCGTTGGGAAATTACAAATATGAACAAATATTTATTCCCCTTAATGAATTTGAACAAAGCAAAAACTACAGTTTAATAAATGATGGTACCACATTATTCTGCTAAAACTCATGTCTGTACTTAAACCTCAAAATTTATTTAGGTTGTAAGCAGCTGATGAGAAGCCAACGAAATAAATGATGGTACCACATTATTCTGCTAAAACTGTAGTTTTTGCTTTGTTCAAATATGAACAAATACTCGCACATATGCTGCTGGTTTTTGAATATAAATCATAAAAACTCACCAACTTTGTCAATCTCTGGCTTCTTGTTTGTATTTGAGCGCAGCTTTTAATCAAATCGGATTGTGTCATATACCGCATTACTTCCTATAAATTGGAAAAATATGTACAAAGAAAAATTATTTAACACAATAATAAACAATAAGCAGACAGTTTATTTGTAATCAAATAATTTGGAAAACGATTCGAGTTTAAGAAGCATTTAAAACCAAGGAGCACTAGACAGTCGCTTCACCCTAGGTTGAGACTCCTAAGGAGCGTATACTCATGATCTCAACAGAAGTCAGACCCAGCGCCTACGGGTAATGTATCAGTTTCTTTTACCATTCAGCGACTGGATTTGAATCCAATGAATTATAACTCCTATGTAGTTACCACCGTTTGATGTAATCGATGAGCCCTCCCTTCAGCCTAACATGAGTCATAATGGAATCTATATTGAATTAATCGAAATCCCAACAAAACCCAAAGTCTGAGTATCGATCTGCAGCTCACTACTAGCTATAGCACGGATTTCTTTAAGTTCTAATGAGAAAGTGTGGCCAGTGGGGTCTACACATCAAAGTGAACCAGATGTTCATTGATAATATTGGTTGCTGGTAGCGCTGCATTGCTATATTTCAAAATGACAGAAGTTACAATTAATGGATCACTGAATATCAGCCCATTGGTTTGAAGCTGAACTAACTGGTTTCGTAACCCACAGGTGTTAGATCTAGCGGGATCATATGTGCACACTGTAGAGCATTTTTTGAGTGGTATGAAACAACTGTCATTTAGTGCTCCTCGGCTTTCAGTGGTTCTTTAACTGATGTCACTTTTTTCATAAGATGCATATTGAAAATAACCGGACTCCTACAAAAACCAAAATCTGAATTCAGTAGATAGTTATATTTTCTCATGTGGAACTTCATATTCTATTAACAGTCCAATGGTGTTAAAGTTAGTACTGTTTTCATAATCAGTTTACATGTCTCCACGTAAAGGGTTTTCAGGATCTCTAATAATTTAAAATGCAGCTGAATGATGAAAGGAAAGTCCGTCTTTAAGGCATGTAAATTAAAAGACAAGTAGGAGAAAGCCCAGATCTACTGTAGTACTAGAAATTCACTGTGCCCTCATACTAACAGTTGCTTTCAACTCTTCAGGAAATTATATATTTGATCAGAAAAAATGTAAGTGTTGTATGCAATAAAGTTAATAAATAAGCGCCTAAACTTATGATTAGCACAGAATTGTAAAATGGTAAATAATGGATTTTTGAAATCATCTTTGATAGTAAGATGCCAAACTTATTTTTGCAAAGAATGAATCAATTATTAGACAATATTGTCACTGGAGTTCAACCAATATAATTCTTCTAGCCCCTCAAGTGTTGATACTGAATGAATTCTATCGGTCAAGTTTGCAATATAGTCGGGTGACTCACCATCGTGGTGCACCCTGAACTAACGTTAGGTGGTTGGAAGCAAGCCTGGACATGACATGTGACAATGGTTACATCCAACTGACCAACCAATATATCAATTACAGTCACACAAAAGCTCAATCGTGGGCCCAACTGACTCAGTGGTAACCTCTCTTACTGCAATACTGGAGGTTGGGTGACAGATTAGACGACAAACAGGAGATCGCCTCCTTCAATGTTGAAGATACACGTTGTTGAACAGTGTGAACAAGCATGAAAGTTAAGTGCAGGACTTCCTGTTGACAGCCTCGAACCATATAACATCAGTTTGGTAACTGAAGCTTACCGTTCAACTTTACTAAGATTACAAATTCTAAAGGATGCAGTGTGCTTTCATGATAATATCTTTAAAAACACAGATTTTTCTGATTTCTGAGTTTATTCGGCGTAAAAGTGTAATATTTCTTGTTACAAGTACACTGGGAGGAAATCCCAACCAGCTGTATAAAAGAGAAACCATTAGTTCTCCGTCCCCACCGCTACTCATTTTTTCTTAAGTATTAGGTCAATTACTGAGATTTATGATATTTCAATTCAGTTTTGTTTTCCACACTATCTAAATGAACACGACATTGCCGTGAAATAATCACTTTGGAGTCACTTTTCATATTAAGTAGAATATTTTTCTTATTTCTAATGGATTGATCGACCTAATGATACGGATGTCATCACACTGAATTGGATCAGGTAACCAGTTGAAGCTTGTTAGTACTGTTGTATAGGATAGACGTAAAAGACACTATTAACAAGTTAGCATTCACCCATTTAGGTACAGGGAACATCACCCCATATTTCTGAAAAATTCAGCCAATTTACGATTCACTTTGGCCACCACCATGGGTATTCAGAATTTTTTTAGTGCATAAATTGTATAACACTTAAAACTTTCTTAAAGCACCATAAATCTTGGTCTGTTCTGTACAGTAGTAGTTAAGCATCTAATAGTATAAATGACTTGGTAAGTCTGGGGGCAGGCAGACTGGGGTCGAAATGCTGTTATGTGGCCAATCATCCATATCCTCTGCCAGGTAATTCCTGTCCACTGACATCACGTTGACAAGAGGGTGTTCCCTCGAAAGTAAAGGGACGAATGAGAATGTCCGGTATTTCTCACTAAACTGATGAACATGTTGTTTCACCTAGAGGGGATGAATATTTCCGATTCTAAACCTATGGTGCACATGGATTCCACAATCCAGGATTAATCGGTGTACAACCCTGTTTAAGTCCCTAGTAACATTGAGAAAGCAGCTGCTGACTCTGTTCTGCTACTTCGTGGATTAGACTTCAGGCCAAAAATCGGAGCGGAGTCCCTTCAGAAAACTCGTGCTTCAGTTTGGGCGCAAACTTATTATCTCAGCCTTCACACAGATCATAGAACAACATTCAATGGGAAACTCTACCTTCATAAATTTTGTGACGCATCTCTCGTTGCCCATATTTTATCTAGTTTGCGTTTAAATAGATAAAAAGAATAGTTAATAATTTGCCGAATGTGTCACTGATAGTTCAACTATGTTTGCATGTTAGTTTGTTTATCCAATGTGGAGTCCAGTCAGTCATACAGTATTATGTAATATTTTGGCATGGTTATGTTCTATAAGCTGGACTGTTTGAGCCTTGATTGTGTTTCTAGACAACACCTTCAGCACTTGCTTAAAGTCTAACCATCTGGGACTTAGGTTTCAAAGTAGAACTACTGCACTTTTGTGCAGTACAAAATAAGTACGCAGAGAACAATGAGGGTCTGATGGATCTAGGAGTTCGTTTGCATCACTGAGTCCTATCACCAACTGTCGCTAGTCATTGGTTCTTAGCCACTCTCAGCCAGGCGCTCTACACATCCTTACTTAAAGTAACTGAAGTGAATCTTTTGGAATACTCCATAAATGATAAAACTGTCTCTCTTGGTGGCCTTCAATGTGATTGGTTCCCTTTTTATTGTGTTGATTTATATTGTTATCGATCATTTTGTATAATTCAATGATTCTGCACCACTCACTGAATGCCATTCTAAATAGATGAACCGAACTGCAGTTATACTCTACTTCATCATCTCCATGGCCCACCACTAATGAGCTCGGTCCAGTGTTTGGATCACTTCAATATAGCTAGCTATCAGTACTGCTTGATATGAGTAGTACACAACGAATCATTGCAATCAATCAGTAGTATATAGTTTTATTACAAATATACTTGGTTTCTTGATTACCATTCATGGTATCAAGCAGATCACAGTAGGTGATCTGAACAATTTAGGTCTCCAAAGGGAACTACGGTAGAAAATATTTGAACCCCCTTGTACAATTTCCAAATCCTCCTAGTTTTTAATTCCTTTTCTTTTTCTATTTAATAGCATGTTCATTGATAATTGTTTCCGCTTTTCCGTAGCTTATTTTATTCTCTTTGGTTTCCATTCACATTAGCACATAAGTAAATCACTTGCCAGTATTTCTCTTTAGTTCCTTTAACATGTGATAAGTTGTAAGGTGTTCTTTTTGCATTGTTTATACGTTGAACTAATGATCATTATTATTAGTTCTAATGAAAAGTTCTATTGATTAACAGAATATTTAATCGTCAGTGATTGATGTAGCATCATTGACTTTCAAATCATATGGTCGTCATTATTCATATCAATTTGTATAATAATAGCAGTAGTAGTAGTTAGTGTTAGTTATCGATCGATTGATTGAATCGATATTTTATGGATATTTTTCTATATTATTCATTTCTAGCTTTTAAATATCTTTTATGAATTGATTGAATATACAGTTTTGGAGTTTGCAACCTTCTTTTTGTCATCACCTATCTATCTAGTCAAATTATCAAATCGACTCAGTTTAGTCTGCATCGAAGAAGACTGAAGACACATCCACGGGTGTAAAATTAATAATTTACATGTTTCTGGTCATATATATATATATATATATATATATAATACGTCTTCAGACCAGCATTTACGCAAAAGCCACGTTATTCAAAATCCTCAATAGCTTAGTAATGATATGATCATGTGACAGACTGTTGGGAGGGGGAATACAAACATGATTCTGGCCGACAAGAAGACTCTAAGATATTTGGATTACGTAGATGATTTATACCTAAAGTCATACAAAATCGAAGATCTATGAGCAAAAAACCAAGAATAATCCATAAGATATAAAAAGTCAAATTTCAAGTCTATAAAATACGATCAATAGTGATACGAATTTAAAAAAAAAGACGGTTGCAGCGATGAAAATTTTCTTTTCGACGAAGTCATCAACCAGGCTGTACAGTCGTGTATTTATATTAGATGTGTGAGAAAGCTCCAGAATTAAATCCGATCAGAAGTTAGATTAATAAAATTACTAAGTGTAATAAACGGAGGAAAGGTAGTGGTACTGTTCTAGATACATTTCAGGTCAAGATTCAAATTAAAAAATTTCCATACATTTGGTTCCCTTGATAAATTTCAATCAAGATAGGAAGACGAAATTTGCAGTATAAAATGATATCACTCTATTTCACAGGTTCTCATCAGCTGCAGACTTCCTGAAATTACAATGGTTTTAAAGATGATAATAACATACTATAATGTTTGAGTGGTAGTAACTTGGTGACTGAATTTTGATTTTTGATTACATTAATTAGTCATCTAATTCAGTGATGTCAGCTCACTGAACAAATCTTAATCTCATAAACTGTAACCGCTTTTGTTATTTTGGAGTTGCTATGTGAACCTACAAGCTAACACTGTTCCGTCAATCAATTTTTTCTGTCTTACCCCTCCCCCCTCTTTTCAACTTTAAAAGCGTATAAATTGATGATGAAAACTTAAACTAAAAACATTGTAATGCTTTCATTTTGGATGCATCAATTTTATAGTATCTCTTCTCTACCACCACATAAACATTAAAGTATTTTATTATCATCTATAAAACCATTATAATTTCAGGTAGTCTGCAGCTGATGGGAACCTGTGAAATAGAATGATGGCATCATTTTATACTGCAAATTTCGTCTTCCATTCTTTAAAAAAATTCCAATGTGTAATAATCAGGAGGATCGGGTAGAAAAGACATAATAGGATAATAATTGCTGGAAAACTCGTCAGTTAAGGACGTAATATTAACGAAATGGGTAGGAGTTTCGGACATATAAGAATGAAAACAGTAATCAAATCCAATAATGCAGATGTGGATTTAAAATTTAAATATAACAGAAATAAATGGGAAGGTTGGACAAGAAAGGTAACAGGATAATCATTATTGATGAGACTGACTTTTCATGATGGCCACGGTAGGGACAAAGGTTGAACATATTTCTTTTGGACACATAAAGTAAGCTTGAGATTTTGGATCGCTAGTGTTTTAGCTATTCCTAAATGTCTTGATTTCACTCCCTTTGGTAGGTTGGATTGGATCTTGTATATGGCTCTGAAGGACTTTTCAAATGGGGCTGAATGTCCAGAATTAACCAGATGTTCTGTTATCAAGCTGTATACCCCTTTTGCGTTCTCCTCTTGCTAACCATTCTGGATAGTGTTCCAGCGCACGTTTTATGAGTGGACGCATGGTATGGCCAATGTACTCAGCTCCACAAGAGCAAATGAACTTATATATGCATGTTGAAATGGCCCGATGCAACAGCTTGTTTTTCACGCGCTGGGTGAATAATTTAATTTTAATTTTTTAAATTTTTTTGATTACAGCTTGGTTCCACACTGTATTATTGGTACAAGTATGGAATTTTCAGCATGGATATCGGTAGCCCAAATTTCGCAGGCCGACCATATATATCAGGTGTGCGTCGGTAGGGGATCGAACCTCGGACCATGTGCATGGTCGGTGAGGGTCCTAACCACTGTGCCACCGACGCAGAAGAATGTTATTCCTAGGCTGGCAGCGAAGTATGTTTTACTGAGAGACATCGAAAGCCGTCCATGGAGAATTTCTGCTTCGGTATCACTGTTAAATTCGAGGTTCAATATCAGCATCTTTTTGAAGGCAACTTGAACCTTTTCAGGTGTTTTCCTTGGTTTTAGATTCTTGCCTATGAATCTGGGTGGGAATCCATTTTCATTCATGTTTGCCTTAGAGATTTTGTAGTTTTTCGTTGATTGACTCTTCAGTCCAAATCTTCCGGATCCTCGAGGAAAGAGAGTAACATTAGGTTTCTTTTTCTGCTTAGAGGCACACAGCTTTGAAAGTTAATAATTTGACCTTTGGCCTGAAATGTATCTAGAATAGTGCCACTACCTTTCTTCTGTTTATTACACTTCGTAATTCTATTAATTTAACCTTTTGACTGGAAATAATTCTGGAACTTTCTCACACATTTGATATAAATACACGACTGTACAGTCTAGTTGATGACTTCGTCGAAGAGAAGACTTTCTTCGCTGCAGCCGTCTTTGCAATAATTCCTAGGATCCAATGTGTATATTTCGTCATAATATTAAACAACGAATCATAATTTCACTTCATACTGAATGTAAGATCAATTCTATTCCCATCCTTGAATCAAGGCAACCTGTCCCGGATCAGCCTAGCGTTGTTGCAACCCAATTATCCATGCCTAACGTGTCTATCCCCTCTTGTTTAATGAACTGTGTATATGTGTTTTTACCTCGATCCGTTTAGTCAGACAGTTGAACTCATGGCCCAATCAGAGTATTTTGTGAACTGTTAATTTTGCTGACCCATGTCTAACTTTGTACTATTCTGTCGAGTTTATCTTATTTATTGATTTTCATCTGTATTTTTCTACCTGGTTAAGTAGCCAATTAAATTCTATCTTTGTGCCTATGCTCGGTCTATCTCTCTTAAACGCTCTCTGTTTTATGCCATACCTTACTTGGGTTCATTCTTCTACTGACTGCTTACCTGAACGGTCGTGTCTGGTTCCGGCTAGTTCGCAATTTTGGTTTTAACGTTATTCCGCTCTGATAGCGGTACCTTGCTTTCTGTTAAGCATTGTGCTTTGTACTCTTGAAACCGTTAAGGTTTGTTGTATATATAATTATTGATTTGTTTATTAATAGTACCGTAGAAACAGTGACCGGCTTCTTGTTTGTTCTGGACCGGGATAGCCTTTATCTACGCGTGACTTAATTTCAAGCGATATTGCGCTTACAGTACTTAACGTTACAGAGGAGATCGTACTGAACTGGTCAGTACTTAACGTAGTACATAACGCTAAACGGATCGAGACCGTACTGAATTGGTCAGTACTCAACGTCAAACAGGAAAGACCGTACTGAACTGGTCAGTACTCAACGTTCGTCCAGAAGAAACTGTGGTGAATTGGCAGCACGCAACGTTGTTGAAAATACATTTTCTTTGGAACAATGCAAACCAGATCAGAGAAGCAAATTTCGGAGCAGCAGTCGGAGAGTCGGCAAGCCCCCGTTTGTATAAATGATCATGTTGATAATCTTTCGTGCCCCGGCTCTCATGTCAGTAGTTCGAAATTATCATTATCGCGAGTAACTAGTGCTAAGTCGTCGCTACTAAAGGCGCAGCTAAAAGAGAAACAGCTTCGACAGGAGTTAGAGTTAGAGACAGATAAAGTTGCTAAAGGCTAGACATGATGTCGAAATGGCCGAGCTGCATGTGAAGTTAGCCGAGGACGACGAACGGAACACTCATGGAAATACGAAAAGAGGCACTGTCAATTACGCTCGAATCAGCGAAGACAGTATCAAAGGCGACATCAGAATGCTATATGAAGCTGAGCTTAAGGATACTGAAGAAAACGAAGACTCATTTTCTATTGAAGATCGTAAGGCAATCGAGTTTGTTACTCAAAGCACCGTCTTAGAAAAGGCGTATTACATTATTCCCTTGCCATGGGAAGATCCAACAAAGGTAACAGATAATAATTATGTAGTCGTCATAAAGCCGTTACTCAATCTGAAACAGAGGTTATCGTGTGACAAGAACCTTTTAGCACGATATGTGAATGGGATAAATACGATGTCAAAAAATGGTTACGCCCTTCCGGTACCCCCGGAGCAGCTAGCAGCGGACTATCGTTCGAGGTGGTATCTTCCACATCATCCCGTTATGAAGCCGAAAAGGCCAGATAAACTGAGATTAGTTATGGATTGCGCCGCAAACTTTAGATGTTATTCTTTGAACGATAAGCTATATCAAGGACCTGATACGATTGCCGAGCTTGTTGGTGCTCTGTTGCGCTTTCGAGAAAAGCCTATTGGTGTAGTCGCGGACATAGCTGATATGTTTATGCAAGTGAAGGTGCCAGTAGACGATCGAGGAGCATTACGATTTCTGTGGTGGCAAGATGGTTGGCTAGGCGTTGGCCGCGAGGAGTTATTGCGGAATGCGAGCAATCCGCGGACGAACTTGTCAGAACGGTTAAAATAAGAACGAGAAACGGCGAGGTGAAGCGCGATATACGTAAGATATGTCTACTAGAGGGATGTCATTAGTAAGAGAGCCGGGCACGAGGGTTATTCTGTATAACATGATTCATAAAATCCTAGTCGGATTTTGGGGGCCGGTGTAAGATCAATTCTATTCCCATCCTTGAATCAAGGCAACCTGTCCCGGATCAGCCTAGCGTTGTTGCAACCCAATTATCCATGCCTAACGTGTCTATCCCCTCTTGTTTAATGAACTGTGTATATGTGTTTTTACCTCGATCCGTTTAGTCAGACAGTTGAACTCATGGCCCAATCAGAGTATTTTGTGAACTGTTAATTTTGCTGACCCATGTCTAACTTTGTACTATTCTGTCGAGTTTATCTTATTTATTGATTTTCATCTGTATTTTCCTACCTGGTTAAGTAGCCAATTAAATTCTATCTTTGTGCCTATGCTCGGTCTATCTCTCTTAAACGCTCTCTGTTTTATGCCATACCTTACTTGGGTTCATTCTTCTACTGACTGCTTACCTGAACGGTCGTGTCTGGTTCCGGCTAGTTCGCAATTTTGGTTTTAACGTTATTCCGCTCTGATAGCGGTACCTTGCTTTCTGTTAAGCATTGTGCTTTGTACTCTTGAAACCGTTAAGGTTTGTTGTATATATAATTATTGATTTGTTTATTAATAGTACCGTAGAAACAGTGACCGGCTTCTTGTTTGTTCTGGACCGGGATAGCCTTTATCTACGCGTGACTTAATTTCAAGCGATATTGCGCTTACACTGAAGTTTGCACTGAAGATGTTGCCTAGATAGAAAATAAAAGCTTCTCAATAAAGCCACACAGCTCATAGAAAGCAACCAAGTCACACAAAAAAGTTTAAAATTATCTTTAAAAAAATAGTGAAATGAGTTAATTAAGTAGTCGGTCATTTACAGACTAACTTTAATGTTTTCTTTGTTCTGAACTCACATTATCTATATCATTCTCTGGCGTTACTTTCACCACTTTGTCGGCATACTTTTCTTTGGCATATTGATTAGTATTATTGTGACCATAAACAACATTGCAATTATTCTTCTCTTTTGACTGAATCTGGAATGTAAAAATAAAATTAATTTGTTAAATTATCATTTATATGTGAAAATTGAATACTATGGTATATGTAATTCCATATTGATTGATTTATTGAATATATGTCCCATTGGGAGGCGATCAGTGGGTCGTCTGTGCGAGGTTGATATATAGTAGATTGTTTGAGGAGGACTAGGAGATTGGAGATTATGGGCGATCGTGGACCCAACTGAAGAGGACAACAGAAAACAGAACAAAGCTGAGATGTGTTGTTAAAGCCTAATGTTCTACTCGGAACCCAAGGGAATAATAATAATATAATATTGAAACTACATTAGATTTTACTGGAAGACAACATTTCGAACGTAATTTATAGTTTTGTTAAGGAAAGAAAAACGGAATTTGCAGTATACAAGGGCATCGCATCAATTAGATGACAATGAAATCATGATGTCTTTTGAAATCACAAGATTACACACTTCAAGTGATCCAAGACTAACAAAAGAAATTATTCAACAACTACTCTGTAACTATGATCACAAAGAAGAACAATATCCAAGTTGAATAGACCTCGTAGTGTTGTCCCATATAACAGATCGCCCATATCGAGACTTATTTCCGAGACCATTATGGGGAGAATAGAATTAACAGCCCTACCTATGAAAAGAAAACAAAAAAACCTGGGTATGTTATGTTGATGATACTTTTGTAATAATTAAATGATGAAATGATTTCGAATACATCCACAAACTAATCAATAATACATTTGAATTTGACATTAATAAGAGAAGAAGAATCGGACAAGAAAATTCCTTTCTTAGATGTCTTCATCAAGAGAATAAACGCAGGAGATCTAGAAACACAAGTATACAGAAAATCAAATCAACGCACGCACATGCATAGATCAAATAATCAACTATAACAGCAATAATTCAATGAATCACAAAGGGAACTAATTGCACACACTGTTTGAAAGAATTCTAACACATAATGTAGCACTCACCTGCTGAAAAGAATAGATGTGAAATAGCTACTGACTGACCTCAACGACAATTAAAATGAATACCCATATAATTTTATGAAAAAGTGTTTAAATTCAAATCAACTTACTAACAAGAAGCCATCCTCAAACATCACAAAAAATTCGTTCTACCATATATATATATGAAGAGTCTCATGCTCTACCGACTGAGCTAGTCGGGCCCTCAGTAAGGTCATATATGCATATGGTCCGGGGTTCGACCCCCCGGCCAGCGCACACCTTTACCTCACTGAGCCAGAAATAATTCTGGTAAAGAGGAAAGGTTGGGCATGAGGCTAGCAACCCCATCCTGTAAAAATTAAACACTGCTACAGAAACTTCAAGCCACTAGCTTGGAGCCTTATGTTCCACTGGGAACGTGAAGGAAAAATTATTATTTATTATTATTTTAAGGGCATCGCCATTCTATTTCACAGGTTCTCATCAGCTGCAAAATAACCGGAAGTTACAAGCGTTATCAACACAATGACAATAACACACTTCATTGTTTGAATATTAGTAGAGAAAACATTATGAAATCAACGCTTCTGAAATATAAGCATCACAATTTTTACTTTAAGTTACCATCAGTTTATATGATTTTAAAATAGAAAAAGAGGGGGAGAATGAGAAGACAAAAAACAGAAAAATCTAATAAACAGTATTAACTTGTAGGTTCACACAGCAACTCAGTAAGGTTATAGTTCATAGTATTGAAATTTTTTTAGTGAGCTGAAGTCACTAATATGGATAGCTAATCAATGTGTAATCAAAATGCAGTTACCTAGGCCGTAAGAGACTGATTAGATTCTCTTTCTGTGTACATAAGTTTGGTTCTAAACGTTTGATTGTAATTGCTTGAACAAATCGTAGTAGATTTTCTGTCCTTTGTATGTTTAGTATTATAAAGGATTTGGATATCTCGACGAAATTACCTGTATCCACAAGGCGTCTGATAATTGCACTTTGCGAACATAGCTTCTTTTTAGGCATAATTTTTTTGGGATATACTCGGAAAACCGGATAGAGGCCATTCTTTTTGTCCTTCTTGTGTACCTGCTCCCCCAAGTAAACGTAAATTCTCTAAACGTAGTTTGAGGTGATATCAGCAGCGTACTTATCCAGTTTAGATTGGCTTATTGATCATGTGATGTTAAATAGAATAGTATCGGTGCTTTAATTCGCTTGTCAATCTTTCACGATACTGCTTCTCCTATGAATGGAAGACAAATCAACACTTTCTTCTTATCATCAGTTGAGTGTTTCATTTTCTTATCCTTTTCTTTGCTAAACTTTTGTATAAATCCATTTGGATACCTATTTTCCCTTAGGCATTTCCCAATAAAGCCTAATTCTTTTCCCACCGCATCGGACGAATATAACTTCCTGGCTCTGTCGTACAGAGTTCTTACTAATCCACGTTTATAGCTTATAGGACGGAAACTGTTACAGTGAAGATATTGTACGGTTCAGGTTTCGCTTCTACAGATGAACATTTTGACCGTACTATCATTTCTTTTTCTTACATTAAGGTCTAAGAAATTGAACTCATCGTTATGTTCATATTCCATGGTGAATTTAATGTTTGGGTGGATCTCATTGCCACGGTCAAATAATGCAGATGCGTAACTCATGTCGTTACAAACAACACATGTATCATCGACATATTGGCTATTATTATTTATTTATTATTATTATTTCCTTTAATTCCTAGAGGAACATAGGGCTTCAGCCACGCGTCTCCATTGCATCCGGTTTTCTGCTAGAGTTTTCACCTGGCTCCAAGTCTACCCACATGTTTTCATCTCCTCTTCACATGACCTCCTCCAAGTCACCCTTGCACTGACGAACAACTCGCCGCTTCCCTTCCTGGTTCCACTCGAGGGCTTATCTAGTGATGTCACTTGGTGGTTTCCTCAGCATATGGCCAATCCATCTCCATTTCTTCCTGCCTATTTGTTGCACAATCGGTTCCTGCTGGGTTGGTTCGCTCCCAGTGATCCCTGTTACTGATCTTTTCTGGCCATATTGGCTATAGTATAGGTTGTTTCATGGATAACAGAACTCAGCCACATCTGTTCGTAATGTTCGTAATCACATCACCAATTTATAACTGCACATCTTCGAGATCTAGTTTTTAGATTTCGTTTTATCCTATATAGTGTCAGTAAAAATAGGATTGGTGAGCTGTTTAAGTCACAGAGTAAAACATTTAAATTGTACAAAGGAAAACCCATGGCAGGAAGTAAGACATTTAAGACCAACTATGCTACTTAATAATTACCGTGATAAATTAATTAGGAACTGTATAGGAGATTGTAAGGACGAAAATAACAATGAGTGAGGCATGAATGACAGACACAAATAGAGCGGTTACATAATCAAGAAGAGGGAATCTAGAAGCATCAATAGTGCTGTCATACAAAGATGGTACCCTCGAGGCCTTATATAGGATTCTTAAGATGGCGGAAACAATAGTGACACTCAAATTCGCTTAGAAACAAAATATGTTGGTTAAAGGATCCTCTAAAGTCCATTTGACAAAATTATTTAATTCATTTAGTACCTTGCAATGACAGTGAGATCGAATAATAAAGGTTGAGGCAATAGTCTGGGGTCACTTAGATTAGTGGAGCGCAAAAACCTAGAAAATACTACACTATTAGACTCGATTAAGATAAGAAATGTACAAAAAAGACAATAGAACAAGGTGATGGGCTTAAAATCTAATGTTACAAGGTGAAACAAAAGACTGACAACCGAAGCTTTATATGTCGAATCAACTGAGGATATATATGTAACTGTAATCATTGAACACCTCTTTCCAACTTCCAGAAAACTCTACTACCCTTACGATAAACGGGAGGGCAAGATAAGAAGTATAAAAGTCAACTTTCGAAGTTTTCTAACCAGAATTGATACGGTTATGCGCGATATACTGTCTTTAAAATGTTGTCCAGTAAATAACACGGTTGTAGTCTGTGTGGTTTGTTTCCAGTAAACAAATTAACGTTATAAAGATGTCACATTACAATCATATCTTAGTAGCATAATGCTTTACTGTTAAAATTGTCATAAAAGACGCTAGCCGACCATTCACATGGTCCAGGCTTCGATTCCAGGCCGACGCACCCCTTTACCTCACTAAGCCAGAAATAATTCTGGTAAAGAGGAAAGGTTGGGCATGAGGCTAGCAACCCCATCCTGTAAAAATTAAACACTGCTACAGAAACTTCAAGCCACTAGCTTGGAGCCCTATGTTCCACTGGGAACGTGAAGGACTAAAAAAGTTTTTAAAAACATTAAGAATGCCTCTGTGGTTCAACGGTAGAATGCTCGTAAACTATGCGCACGGCCCAGGATTTGATCCTTGGCCGACTCATTTTTTTGGGCTACCGATATCACATGCTAAAATTCCATACCTGTATCAAAATATACGGTGTAGAATCAAGCTGAAATCAAAAATAAATAAATAGATAGTTTCAATTTCGATCACGAATCGGCTTCAGCTGGAGGAGCATTTAAAACCAGAAAGTACTGGACAGCTGTTTCGTCCTTGTTTGAGACTCTTCCCAGTACGCATTCACGAACCCATCGGAGATCGAATCAAGGAATTTAAGCTTATAAGGCGAAAACGTATACCACTCAGGCACTGGGATAGAATTCAATGGACCATCAATTCTACCTTCTGCCATCCGCGATAGAACGCGATCACCAGCCAGTGTCATTCATGGGTATCTGTTCTCACGCCCTACTTGGCAGATCCTGCTCTTCACAAATTCCCACCAGAACTTCAGGTAATTTCAACCTGTAGTGAGTCACTACCTGGCTAGCATTTTCTTCGGGCGCATTACAGAATGTGGGTCAGTGATCTGCAGTCTGCCCAAAATATTCTGCAATGCGCTCGAAGTCAATGCTTGCTGGATAGCGAGTATTACACTCACGAGTCATAGTCGCGTACCGATGAAGACGCCAAAAAAGGATGAAACAGTTGCACAGT